TATTCTTTGGCTCCCCACTTTTCTGCTTGTTTTGGTCTGTTTTTCATGTAAGGGTTTCCTCCAATCTCTATTGACCCTTGCTGTCCCTTCATATTGCAGAGCGAGGCCGTGACCGCCCAGCTCCAGGCTCCGCGCGAGTTTCTGTGCATCCTGGAAGGCTCCGAGCTCTGGCCTCGCGGTCTCTCCGACTCTCCCCTGTCTCTCTCCTGGCCCGCTGGGCTCCCATCAGTTCCCCAGGCACATAGGCTTTGTTGTTGCTTTGCGGCTTCGCAATTGCTGTTCCCGCTGCCTGGAGGGACGATCCCCTGGGGGCTCCCTTGGCTTATTCACCTCTTTCAGGTTTCTGCTCACATAACCCTCTACCACAGAGGTCTTCCCTGACGCCCTGTGTGAAACTTCTACCTGGGCCTTCGTCGGCTTTCCTTTCCGTGGGCCGTAGGGTCCCCTGACATGGCAGCACGTAGGGTATGCTGGGTCAGGTTTACCATGATGCTGTATTTGTGTGAGGCCCGGTCCATGCAGTCAGGGTTCTTTATTTTGTTCACTCTGTGTCTGCTGCACCTGAAGCAGTGCTTGGCACACATTAGTATGTATTTAATGCAGGTTTGATGCAGGAAGGAAGGAAGAAGTGGTGGCTTCACTGAGCGTGGAAGGGCCAGGACCTGGCCCTTCACTGAAGATCCCTAACCTTCAGTCTCTCTGGATCCTTCTTTTGGGTCCATTTCTTCAGCCGCGGGAGTCCTAGCTGCCAGTGTCCTTGGAGTTGACTGGGAGGTCTTTTATCTGATCCTCCTGTTTACAGCAAAGTACCCCTGTCTTCTGAGCCCTTTGAATTAACCTATCCTGGGAGCTAGAATAGCAATCCCCTGGTTGTGTTATGTAGGGGTGGGTGGGGGAGAGGAGCCCGACTGATTGCCAGTCTTAAGCCCTACCCACACCCTTATTCTCAGAAGTACCCTGCATCTCTGATTCCTGTACCCTCTGGGGTTCTGCAGGGTTTATCACAAGTATGTGCTCGTAACTGTTTCATTGGCCCGCGGGGGAGGAAAGCCCTAGCGTGCAGTGTTGGCTCCTTGCCATGGTGTAAGTCCTCCCACCATAACTGAACTTAAGCTATCGTCATGACATCACTGAACACGGACTTGGGAAGAAATGCACAATCGGACACCAGTGTTCCACCTTCTAGACACAATAGATGTGAATGACTTCGAGTGTAGATAATAAGACCTAGTAACATAAGAGGGAGGTGAAGACTTTTGAACAGCTGTTAACTTTGTTTTATTAAATATAATTTGAGGTTTATGTAATTTTTTTTTTTATTATTAAAGATTTTATTTGACAGAGAGGGAACCCAAGCAGGGGGAGTGGGAGAGGGAGAAGCTGGAGCAGGGAGCCTGATGCGTGGCTTGATCCCAGGACCCTGGGATCGTGATCTGAGCTGAAGGCAGACGCTTAACAACTGAGCCACCCAGGCGCCCCAGAGGTTTACATAATTTTTAATGATGGTTCTTTTTAACTAGCTTGTAAGTTTCCTAAAAATTTGACAGTCTGCTCTGGTGAGCTTCTGTAAGCTGGTTCTAGCATGTATCCTCTTGCTTTTGGATTCCCTTACTCTTGCAGGCTTTAATTTTTTGATATCTGGTATCTTCTTTCTACGTCAGTTATCCCTGGTTCATCTAATTTCCAGTTTCTAAAATTTTGTGAATGGCTCTTTTCCACTTGTCCTCTTCTTGACTTCCTTCTCACTGTCCTATTGGGCTTAAGCCTTCCTGAAAAACATCCTTTTACTTCCATTTTCATGGGTTTCCAAAGGCAGTCGAGGTAAATGCAGGTGTTCAAAGTGCTTTGTTTAACCAGAAGTGTCTGCAATTAGAGTAATTTTGAACTTACTGCACATACATGCTTAGAAATGTACTTTCTGACTATGTTCTTTGGCTTATATGGATTCTTTTTTTGACTGTTGAATGGTTGGTAACCTTCTATGGCTCCCATAAACTTTTAGTATGACATTTACTTCATTAATTTCCATTGCTTACTGTGCTTTTGGTATGAGAATGGGTTCATTATAACACCACAGGAGTAACTCTTTTAACCACCTAGAAATCAGACATTAAACAGTCAAGTTTTTATTTTCAAGGGTCTTTGTTTTGAGTAAAATGAGGCAGTGGTTTTTAAAATTTTTCAATATGTTTTTTTCTTTCCAGAGTTTGACTTTATTCCCAGTGAGCTTATCTATCTTAAGGTAGAGGGTAGAGAAGGAGGGAACTAGAATTGTTAGAGCAGGAAAGAAGGAAATTCATGTTGAGGTTTTATTCACTTTGAAGACAAAATAATAGGCTTAAAAGTCACTTACTGTGAAAAAAGGATTTTATAAATTCCTTTATCTCCTCCTGCACTATAACAAGACTCGGATGTTGGTTGTAACTGAGACCTCACTTCATCTCCATTCTCTCCACAGCTTGGTTGTTCATGGCTCCTTCCTTTAACGGAAAAATACCCTAATGTTCTTCCACTACTAAGCTAGTTTGAGTTTCTGTTACTTGTTGCTAAGGGTTCTAAGTCTTTTCAGTTACGAGAATTTTGCGGGTCTCCGTTCCACACGATAGCTGTTTTATTAGCAGTATTTTGACTGAGAAAATCCAGCCAACACAGATAGATGGGCAAAAGGATACAATGAATTCAGTAATGCTTATGAATGAATTTTATTTAGCACATCAAAATGTATATATACAATATTTGTAAAATGGGAGTGCCTGCAAGTCTAAGACGTTTTTTCGGTGTATAAATGATGCTTGGGGACCATAGGGATTTGTAGATTCCTTGAAATAACTCGTCGCTCCAGCTGCCTATTCCCAGACCCAAAGATGCTTCCTTCACAGGTTGGCAGCCACTGCTTTAGATTACCTTCTCCCCAAAGTCCTTCTCATCTGATTTGAAATGAGTGCTTTCCTGCCTTTCTCCAAGACCCCACTGGATCTGCTCCAGCTCCTAAGTACCTCTTGACCCCATCGCACTCTTCTACACCTGCTGCCGCCGCTGCAGTCCAGGCCCCGCTCACCCTCACAGGCACTGATGGCGACAGTCGGGCTGTCTGGCCCCTCTTCAGGTCTGTTCTCCAGTCCGCACTCTGTACTGCAGGTGTTTCTCATTGTGTCCTTGCCGGAAACACTGCTGCTCCCGTGTCCCAGCAGGACAGCTGGGATACCTTTGTTTCCGTCCCACTTAACTGCTCGTGTTCTGCAAACATGTCTTGTGCCTTTTGCTTATGAGCTTTTGTTTGAACCAGTTCTTCTGGCTAGAACAGTCTTTCTCCTACACATGACAAGTTCATGCTCAGCTCAGATGTCACCTATGACCCCCACAAGCCTCCTGGTCCGTGATAGCCATACCTTTTCCCGGCATCCTGTAAGCACTTTGGTGCAGGCTTTGGTGAGGGACTTCTCGCCACGTGGGCACTGTGGGGAAAGGAACGGTTAGTCACGTTTCTATCTCCGAGCACCGCAGACAGTGCCCAGTACATAGCAGATGCCTGATAAATGTTTACTGAACAAACTGATGTGGATTGGTATGCTTATGAGTACAGGTCTGTTGGAGACTAGCTCCTGAATAAGATTCAATGTTATTTTATTATAAAGCCATGGAAGTGGAACAAGAAAAACCTGTTAAAATTATTTTCCCAATTGTTTTTTCCCATTTCAGTCTCTTTTGACATTTTTTTCTCCCCAATAAGACTTCATTTCATCTGACTGCAAAAGCAACACATAGCTTAGTATTTCCATGGACATCAGACAGGCTCGGGTTCAACTTTTGCTACTTAGTGGCTGTGTGCTTGTACGCAGTACTTGATCTCTTTATGCCTTCGTTTTCTCATCTGAATAATGGAGATTGTTATAATAGTTCTTCCTAAGACTGTCATGAAGATGAAATTAGTGTACGGAAAGTGCTTAACACAGTAACCTGGCGCGGTGATTGCTCCATAAATATGCACAGCTGACATTATGGTCAATGCAGAAAAGATAGTCTGTGAGAGCGGGGATACAGTTGGGAGTCTTTGGCCCAGGATCTTCACTGCATTGCATTAAAAGAAAACATAAATCTGACTCCAGAAGCCTTGGATGAGAATCTTTAGGACAGCCTTTCTCAACCACAGTTCATGTGAACCACAAAGCTCAAAATGACCAAGTGACTCTTTTCTCCCCTGAGGATGCTACATAAGAGCACCATTCTAAATGCACATGAGAGCTGGCTGACTATATGCAAAGCTTGATTGAGGACACTGGGGTGTAGGCCTCTCTCCACCCCCTCCCCTTTCAGAAAGGCTGCTCTGCTGCTTCTTGAAGGCCTGGGGCAGAGCTCAGCATAGTGCTGCTTGTCTTCCGTGGAAACCTCATTTTCTCCAGCCTTCTCAGGATGGCTGATAAAAATCTCTCCCTCCCTCACCCATGTGATAGGTTCCTAGAACACCATTCATTTGTTCTTATTCCACATCGTGCTCACCACATAGCCAGTAGTTCTGCCAGGTGTTCCCTTCTCTTGAAAGAACCCGTGTCTCCCGATCCTTGTGTGCCCTCCTTCCTCTGGGATCGCTGTGAAGAGTGTTGCCAAGAAATGCATGTGCATAACTGGACTCTAGAGCAGGAAACATTGACCTTTTTCCCTTCACTTACAGACTTCTAAAAGTCCTCTAGATACCTTGCCACTGCCAAATTCCTCTTCTTGACAAAAACTATAGAATTCTCTGGGCACTTAATCTAAGCGCATCATGATTTGTGCTGCTGAGGCTTCCAAAGATGGGTGCCGTACGGCAGAGCAAATCTGCCCTTTTAGAGCCATTCCTGCGTCCTGTTGCTCTTCGGTGCCGACAAAGCTCATGCTGCCTCCCAGGAAGGTCCCAGGCAGCTTTCTTGCTGGCGAGGGCCACGAATAGTGGATGGAGGAATGATCCTGGGTAGGCAACTAGCACTGTCTACAATCCACATAATGGAATTATCATATAGCCATTACCTTTTGAAGAATATTTATTGACATGGGAAAATGCTCACAATATATTAAAGAAGAAAGCAGGATACAAATCTGTAAATACAGTATGATCCCAGTCTTGTAATAAAATAAATTCTATATGCATAGAAAAAATACAGGACAGAAATACACTAAAACATTAACAGTGATTATCTTGGTGGTGGGATTTGGGTGACTTTAGCTTTCTGCATTTTCCAAACTTTTCATAATGAGCATATATTCATAGATTACTTTCATGATGGCGGGGGTGGGGGACAGGTCTGTACCGGTGACACCATGACACCAGACACCTAGTATCGGGAGGCAGTGAGACTGATGCGGTGTTGAGGAGCTACTCAGTACCTGCACTGCCGCAGGAGGTGTCCCCATTTATAAAGGAGGGCAGAGAACCCGTCTGCCCACCTCCCAGGACCACGGGTGTGGGAAGGGGGCCCCGAACGTCTGTCAGCTGTACTCAAGTGCCTTGTGGTGGTACTTGCATGCCCTGCGTTGGAGGGCAGGAGGGCTGCGGACACGCGGCCCATCCGTATGCTCCTCCCTGCCGTGGGCCGTCGCGGCAGGCATCTGTCTAGGGCAAGCCTGCAGCCCTGGTCTCTGACCTCAAGGATTCCAGGTCCTTGTTTGAAATCCGGTCCTGCGCAAGTCTTCCACTCACAGATCCGCTCCAGGTCACCCCCCTGCTTATAAGGTGCCTTAAACTGGTTCTGCTGAAATGGTTATTGCTTAAAATGGCCTGAGAATGCCCGCCTGCAGCACTCCAGAATCCTAGGAGGCCCCAGGTAGTCAGGGTGGTGAGGGGAGGGAGGGAGGTGTTGGGAGTCAGGCCAGCCAGACTTGGACTCCTGTTTGCAGTGACACTGGGAAACTGAGGCCTGCAGGGACGGTCTCTAACAGGAGATGCGATGAGGTTACTTGCGATAAGAGACATGAAAAGCCCAGCACATACTAAGGACTGAGCAGACGTTAGTTTTCTTTCCAGGGGCAAAATGAGGTCCTTCCTCTCCCCCTGCAAATGCTCTCTTCAAAAACAAAGCCTAGTACTTAGTGCCCAGTGCAGGGAACCGCAGAGTGAAACACACTCCTTGAAAGCAGTAGAGCACAGCGACTTAAGCAGGACTGTTCAAACACTGTGCACAGCTGGCAAGATGCTATTTCGGTAAACCTGTCTTCACGTAGGTAAGCCGACACTCATGCCAAAGCTATTTGCTTGTAGAAATTATAAAAATACTTTAAAAATGCATTTGTAGGATGAAGTAACAAAAATACTTTTTCTAAACTTTTTTCACACAATCTAAATTTATGAATTGCCGAGTTTCATTTCATTTACTGTTAAAACATGGGTCACCCACCACTTCTCCAACTATCTGGATGAAAATCCTGAAGTATATTGTATTCTTCCTAGCCTTTTATTCTGGAGTATTCAGGACTTACTCAGTTTTGTGAAATCAAGTCCGGGTCCTCTCTCTGAGAATTTGTCTATGGGCCATGCTGTTGGTACAGATCTTTCTGGGTCCACCAGTGTCCTTTGGGAAACAGACTGGCCCAGACTTGTGAGGCCTGGTGTAGATTTCCTCCTCCTCCCTGCCCTCCTATCCGGATTTTAGCGGGGCCTTCAGTGGTTTTCGGTAGACCTGCCTTCTATTGAGCAGCCACTTCCTCTGCCATTTTGTTCTTTGTTTTTGTTTTGAGTTATCTGGCTTTCAAGCCCATTAAAAAATCTGTTAAAATGTATGCAAATTTTAGTAAAGAGGTAAAAGGAGAGATTCTTGAGGATCTCTCCTATGAGTAAATTGCAAGAAACTCTAGTGACTTCTTTGGCAGCTCAAAGGCCTTTAAAAACTGCATCCTTGAACTGTTGTTTTGTCAGAGAAGGGATCTCTGGATAAATGACATTTTCCACCAATACTCCACGTACTTTACCTATCCTTAGAAGGGGTATTATGGTAAGTGAGATAACAGATGTGAAAACACTTTAAAAAAAAGCATAAACTCTGAAATATTGTTTGCCCCATGTATCTGTAAAGAAACACACACAGATGGCTAAATTGAATCAACCCCAATGTTTTATTTAATTTAAAGTTTTAAAAGGCAGTGGTTAAGCACATTATCTATGTGTATATATGTATGCATGTACGTACATGTACATACATCCATGCAGACATATATACAAGGAAACCAACCCCTTTCAGCTTTAGCCACTGATTAACTAGGCCCACTGTCTATTGCAGGATCCATATTCTACTTCTTCATATGACCAATTCTAAAAGTAAAAATAAACAGCCTTAATCAGTTTAACAGTAACTGTGTTTCTTTTTTTTTTTAAATAAATAAAGTTACCATTAAACTGATCACATATGGTAGAAAGGTCAAACACACACACAAGCGCACACACAGTCCCAATGTACAACCTGTGACCTATGAATGACCTATATGTACAAATGGGGGCTGCTGACCCCCTCCACCCCCAGCAGAGGCCATGAGAGAACTCCCAGCACTCCGGGAGTCCCCATCCTCTCTGCTGGGTTGGAGGACGTGTGTTCCTGGCACCCCGAGTTAGACCTCAGAATGCATGCTCCCATGCAATGATACAGATGGGGGTTCAGTTCTATGGTACTAGTGTTAAGGTACGTAAGAGAATAAATAGGCATCTGTAGCTGCCTCAGAACTAAACCATCATTTATAACCCTTTAGAGGGAGAAATGTATTCTGAAGTTCTCGATAAGGGACCTACAAACTTTTAGAATGTAATCAGTTTGCAAGTCTGGGGCTGTGTGTGTGCGTGTTTGTGCATTTCCACATATTTGTACAAAATTGAAGAGTGGGACTAGGTTTATGGAGCAGCTGCTTGGCTTCCATGTAGTCAGTCCTGATCTAACAAGTCACTTGCCTCAGCCCTTATTTAGCGGCTCGTTCTGCTTCTCACGTGGCTCCGTCTGCTGGAGAGATTCAGAAGGGGGCAGCTTTCACAGGCGAGAGAGGAAGGCCACGACTACATCTAAGAACCTTGGCAAACAGAACGGCCAGATTCAACCGGGGCTGCTTTATAGGATGAAGTCCTTCAGTTCCATCCCAATGAAATGGAATTCCTCTTCTTCTGTGGTTAGCCCCTGCCACTCCATCTAACTGCAGCTCTGTACGAACGCCTCGGTATTGCGAAAACACAGGATCACCTCTTAAATATGCTGGATTCTCAACGAGTAAACCAGTTAATGTGTTTCTAGCCAAAGCAAGGGCATAAATGTTTTAGAGAAAAGACTCCCCTGGAGCTACAGAGAAAAGATGCTGATAAAAGCAATATTGAGAGTTGGGCAGGTGACGCTTTTAGTCTGTGTCAGAGCTGGTCTCTTCGATGACAGAGTACTGGTTGAGTGCTTCCTCCAAAGGCGTTATTGTCCCATCAGGTTTTAGTCCCATTGGTTTAAGCAACTCCTCCCTGGAAAAAGAGATAAAAGAGAGAAAAAAAAAGTATTCACCAGCATCACACACACACCCCTCCCCCCGCCCAAATCCACATCCTTTTAAAAAGAAAAGTCTTTAAAAACCAAAGTATTTTTCCTCAAGCTCTCTGTGTGTTTGTAACAGGAAAGATGAAAGGGGCATGGAAAGAAAAAGAGGGAGATAAAAGACTTCATTCACACAGGCCAAACCTACTAAGCCAATTAAAAGTATGAAAAGTCAAGGTCTAAATGGGCTCAGGACAAGGAGCAGGTCTCTTCTGTTTTTAATAATTAACTTTTTTTCCTTTTGTGGATTCGTTGTTTTAGTGAAGTTGAAGCTGCCAAAATTTCACGGGTCCCAGTGGGCCAGGCATATAATCAAGTGGCTGATTTGATACTTATGGATTTCGTTCAGTGGAATAAATGTCAGATTTGATTTTGCCTCTCCAACCTCTAGCGATACATAAGTGCTTCTCGATTCAGTCCAAGTCAACTGGACTTCCCCAACTTTCTCCCTCCCTTTTATTTCCTTCTCTCTCTCTTTCCTTCTTTTTTTCCCCTTTTTTAAACACCATTGCTTTTGTTTGTGGCAGTTTAATTATGGGATTGACAGCCATTTTAATCTCTTCAAAGCTCCCCAACTGCCTCTTTTCAGCTAATCCAATTATATCTACTCCACAAGTTACAGCCTCATCTAAAGATGATTAATTATTGATTAAGTCAATCAAAAAGCATTAGGAAAGATTTATTTAATCTTTTCATAGGCTCTTATTTATTACATGGAGATTATGGCAAATGTACCTGTTGAGTTGCTAACTCTAGTCCTCTTCCCACCCCCAAAATGTCAGCAGTGTACTTTAAGAGTAGCCTCAAAGAGGTACATGAGCTGCTTAAAATTTATTTCTCAAGGAAATGGGCACCACCCACTGAGAACATGTCTATAACCAGGAAGCCCCACGGCAGCAGCTGTAATGCTGGCGGGATCTGGAGTGGAGGGGACACTAAAACTGCTTTCCCTCTGCCTCCTTGCTGTTGTCCCAGAGGCCAGCACAAAGAAGGGCTCCCTTCTGGGGAGGGCCGGCCGCACAGCAGTGTGAGGTGTGAGAGGCGCAGTGAAACCCCTGGGGAGGGGTTAGAACAGCTCAGTGGTCCCTGGCTCAGCCAGCAGGAGCCGAATCGAGCAGCTTCGGCTAGCACCAGAGGACTATTTGAGTAATGGGATGGCTGCCTGGCTATGTTGAGGCTCCTGAGTTATAAAGGAGGAGATGTGGTTCCTGGTCCAAGAAATGGGGTCAGAATCATAGAACTTGAAGGGGCCTCAGAGATCATTTAGTCCAACCCCCTTGTTTACTAAATGAGACTGAGTGACTTACCCAAGGTCACACACCTAGTGGCAAGCTGGACCTGGGACACAGGTTTCCTGCATCCCAGGCTAGCGCTCTTGGTGGTGTACCACCTCTGGATTAACTGCTCTAACTGCACTGCAGGAGCACATTGCATTCAGCTGTTCAGTGTCTGTTCAGCTCCTCCATGCCAGAAGCTAGGCCATACACTAGGCAGGGAAAGGAAGAGTGGGCACAACGGTCCTTGAGGAGCAGGTGAAACATATATGAAAAATAACTCCAAACATAATGGGGTAAATGCTGTCCCAGAATCACGAACAAAGAACTGGCAGCTCCAGAGATGAAGCACAGACCGAACTGCATGGGGGAGGGAGGGTGGCATCACAAATAAGGTATCCGGGGCCGAGCAAAGAAGGCACAGAGCATCTGAGGCAAAGGAGACCAATGGGCTCTGTATGGTCCCATCTACTTGTGTGTTTTGTATCCCTTTTTGGACTGTGTCCATTCCTTTCTCTCTGCTCCCAGGAAGCTGTGAAAGGGCCCAGTGTTTGCAGAGGAGTGAGGTTCAATGAAGGAGTGGCAGGAGGTAAGGCTCAAGGGTAATTTGGGGTCTAGCGGGTAAGTCTGGGTTTTGCTCTGTAAGGGATGTCACATCTATTTTATAAGGCAGTGTCTCTGGCAGCAATGGGGAAGGTGCACCAGACCAGGGAGAACCTGGTGGCAGAGAGACCAGTCATTAGGATGTCATGGTACAGTGTGTGTGACAGGAGATAGGCTACTGGACTCGGGCTGTGACCCGCTGGAAGGGGAGAGGGCTGCTGAAGGAGAGACTGGGGGAGGGGCAGAATGTCCCTGTGGCCTCCGGCTTAGATGACCAAGAGGATGGTGATACAATTCACTGGAGCAAGAACACAGCAGATGAAGTAGATTTTGGTGGGGAGATGCTGACATCTCTCAGGACATGAAGAGCTTGAGGCCCTTGCATGACAACCAGGTAAATGTTTAGGTGAAAGCCAGAAACAACCTGTTTCCATGAAAACTTCCCTCTAGCACTGATATATACCCCATATCTACATTTTTACAACACAGTTGCCTCGTTCCAACTGCTTGTGCTAAAGGATTTTTTGATACTGGACACTGCTTACTAATGACGTAAAAGGACAAGGGGCTAACCTGCTAGGAATAAAACACTGAGGGATAAGAAAGTTGACAGGTCTAAAGGGGCCTGTGGAAGAGGGCACAGTAAGATGGGCTAGGCAGCGAAGGGTCGGGGTAGATAGAAGCAGAACCCTGGATGGGACCAGAGGACTTCTACGGAGATGGTGATGAGACGCTGGGGGGATAGGCCCCCGCCCTGCCCCACTACCAACATGACTCCACCTCTGTGACAACAGGATGATGCTGGGCTAGCTACCAGCTGTACAAAGTAGCTATCACCTTCTCCAAATCTAGGAGGAATATTTTCAAATCAAGTCCATTGGTTTCATCCCTACTCCAATTTCATGATGGAAATAATTAAGAACATTACAGAAGTCCCATGGCCAAATTATAGGAACTTGTCTATGGGATAAAGGGGCCCATATTTTAATTCTCACCTGTGAACTATTCTTCTCAAGCATTTATTTTTTGGGTCCTTTGTATCACCCTCTGAGGGCTCCACAGGATACCTGGACTTAAGGACACCTCTGTAGGAGAGGTGTCGTGCTAACTGGCCATATAATTATGCATTTGTGCAAATGAATTAAGATAGCAATGTGATACAGTGTACAAAAACAAAAATATCTGGAGTTAGGAAGTCTGTTTGGAGCCTTGGCTATTCACTTACCAGTTGTGTGATCTTGGGCAAGTCTGAGTCTCAGTTTCCCTGTCTGTGAAATGGGGATAATGCTAATACTAGTTCTACCTAATTCCTAGTGATGATGTGAGGAGTAACCATAACAGAACCAGTGGTGGTGGCAATAACAACAATGATGTAGGTCATAGAGTTCTATGAACTGCAAACGAGTCCTAAATACTAGTTATTATTATTGTGGTACAGTGAAAGGCACACACAGGTTTTGGAGTCGGACAGACCTAGGTTCTAATCCTGGGTCCACCAGTCACTAACAGTAAGACCTGGAACTCTCTGAACTTCAATTCCTTATCTGTAGAACTGGGATAGAAATACCCACCTCACTGAGCTGTCATTAAGGCAAAAGGTCACTATACATATAAACTGTAGTGTACTGGCTGGAATGTAGGTGGAACAGCAAGTTGCATTTCCTGTCTTTATGTGCTTATGGGAGGCTTTCCCAAGCTGCGTAGGGCACTCTGGGAGTAAGTGGGGGGGATGAATATGCAGAAGCAAAAGACATGGTCCCTGTCCTCAAGAAGCTTTTAGTCAGTTCAGAAGATAAAACACACACACATTAAACAATATTAAAAGAATTACAGAACAGCAGATCAACAAGCTTGAGATGATTAACAGGCAGAGCCCTGCTTTCCCTAGCTTGACAGTTCATCAATATACTCTTATTGTAATTAAAACATGTTTAAAGGAATTTCTTGTCCTGTTTGGGAGTGGAACGAGAGAGGATCTCCCACAGCTATGTGACTGTTCTTTCTGCTAGACTCCAGCCTTACTTGTCACATTCCCATCTCAACGTTTCTAATCTTCCTTTTTATCATGCAACTAACAGCCCACAAATACCCAAATGAAATCTTTGATATAGAGACTCACTCCTAAAAGCTCTGATGAATGACCTGGTTATACTACACTGTTTCATTTAATAAGATGTTATATCTAGATATCTAGATCAGCAAGATGTGGACGGAGAATGGGAAGCATTAACGAATACCACAGAAATGTTATTCCACCATCATCTGGGTTAGGTACATGTGGAAGGGACACAGGAGGAGGTGGGGATGCTGATCACAGGCTCCTTGCAGGAGACAGACTCAGGGCCAGACTATAATGGCAGGGATGGACATGGATTCATGGGGAGAAAGGCATCCTAGGAGCAGAAGAATTAGTCAAGCAAAGGCGCAGAAGCAAGAGTTAGTTGTGTGCAGAGATTGGCAAGCAGGCTGGTTTGGCTGAGGTAAAGGAAAAAGAAAGCTCAAAACAGACCTGGGGTACAAAAGAGGATCTGAATGGAGACTTTGAAATCCTAGGCTGACAAGTCTGGATTATAGTTACAGAGATATTTTTGTCTTCTATTTCATCTAAATATTTATTAAAAATAACTCTCATTACAAAGTTTGAAAGCTATGAAACAGTATTGCCCTGACATGAAAAAGAAAATGTTCTATGCTATAAGTATTCAATTTTCATACCCTATGTGTCTAGCACAACGCCTTGCCAACAGCAGATCCTGTGTAAGTGTTTATGGACTAAACTGAGTTGCACTTGATGTTATCTTGTACTTTCACAGAAAGGGAATGTATAGTGTTTTATGGGACTCCTAATAAATAAACCATGATCAAGAGAAAAGCTAGATCTTTGGGTAGAAAATTCATTTTCATCATCAAGATCTACAAAGTTAGGAAAGATATTAGCCTTCTACAGGAAATTCTGCATAATGCTTTCCAAGGATTTCTTGTTCTCTGCTAGACTGTGAGCAACTTGAGGGCAGAGTCCATGTCTTATCTAACTGTGATCTGCAGTATCTAGTATAGGCTGGGGACATACAGTAAGTGCTCAGTAAATGCTTATTAAGAAGCTATAATACATTGGTCATGGCATAAATGGAGAATGGTAGAGAACCATTTGTCAAGAATCCTTATAGTATTTTAATTATTATTTCCCTGATGAGTCAATGTCATTAGACATTCTGACAGTGCAGCAGAAGTCAGGCCCCCTTTGTACCACACAGCCTGGAATTCCCAACCACTAACTGGTGTAGACTCAGTTTCTTACATTCTGGGGCATCGGGAGGTCTAGATTCTAGTCTCAGATCTTCCTCTAACTTGCTGGGTGTCCTTGGGCAAGTCATTTCCTTCTCAGGGCTTGAGTCTACCCATCTATAAAATGAAGGGGTTGGACAAGATGATCCCCAAGATTCTATTCTAAGAGTCTAAATATTAGGCTACTAAGTAATTTTGTTCTATTTAAAAAGCTGCTAGATTTTTAAGACACTAAAACTCAATACTGCTAAGCCTTTGTTTCTAATCAAGATATATATTCTAAAACTAAGAGTCAAACATAGCATCCTACCTGTAACTGACCGACACCAAGACCGGAAATCCTTTCTGCAAAACTACTGGCAGATGATTAGAATGATTACAAAAGTAAATCAAAGCAATGGCAAGTGTTACAAGGAAGGATCTAAATTCAGTCATGGCCCTCACTAAGCCGGCCATTTCATGAAGAGTTACTGGCCCTAAATATATGAAGGTCACATCTAAAAAGGATGGCTAGGTGTCAGATAATATGTACATCATGGTTAAACGGAGATACTGTATATTGAAATGTGCATCAGGATTAAGATATTCACATAGCAACAACTCCTTCATACTTACCTTTAATGCTATACACAGGCCTTAACACAAGTTAAGACTGCCCTCGTTATCATCAAAAAGTACAGTGATGTCTACTGGATAAAGAGCCCATTCTAGGCACTGTGACAGTATCATGGCGGGCTTCTCATCTGATCAGGCATCTGGCCAGGGAAGAGATAAGCCTCCAAGAATGTTCAACTGGAACGAAACATCATTTAGAAATTTGATCTTACTAAACGATAAGGAACCATAATCTATAAGGGCTTGGCCAGGCACGAGGACATAGATAAAGCACGTCCAAGAAAGGAAACCCTATTTTGCCCCAGCCTAACCCTTGGGACTGCTAATGGAAACCAAAAAATACTTTAAGATTTGGCGGGGGGGGGGGGGGGGGGGGAAGATTATGGGATTTATACCATATTTAAAATTTTTTTTTTCTTCCCCCAGATATATTTTAACATTTTCCTGAGCCACCATTTCCCTGTAAGGGTGGTCCTCTGGGATGCCTGGGCTTACATAATTTCTCAGAACCTTAGAGAAGGTTCCATTTCTTAGGGCTTCTGGTTCCTATGTAAGTAAGTCTTTCCCCCAGAAATGACAGTGCAATATTGGGGCTCAGTACTAACATACCCAATCGCACATTATAGAATAGGCCAGATGTATATGTGTATAAAACACCTTACTTGACCTGGAAGCAAGAGAATACTCTTGCCCACAGCACATGTTTTTGTGCAATACAAACAAAGCATTCAATTCAAGTGTACTTGTTGAAAAACAGGACATAATTAAGCAGTTGGTAAAATGCATTCTTGTTTCCCACTTGCAGATCTCCCAAGAGTCCCTTCGAATTTACCTATACGAGTTTCAGCTTCCCGCTTGCCACTTAGCTTGATAACGACTCAAAAATCATTCCCTTGTTTTCAAGGGCTCTTCTTTCTTGTCTGCTCTGTGTACTACAGGGCAGTATTGACACATGGAATTAATGACAGGGTCTGTAATGAAACAACAGTCATGCAAACACCAGTCTGCTCTTTTGATAAAACAGCATGTTAGAGACCTATTCACCTCCCTCTAATTGAGTACTGCATAATAGTTCCGATCCTTTTATGTAATATATTTTGTTCTATGATTAGAAAAGAAGAAAGGGGGAAACCTGTGAGGCATTGCTTCCTTCAATCGCCCCCTGATTAATTCTCTGTTTCTAATGAGGGCGGCTGCTATTTAGGCAGGTTCTGTTACATACTTGTTTTGTTGACTTCTGTACAATGTATAACAAAACCCAAGACGGGATAATTGGGAACCATTTCTGTGGCACAGGGATTCCTGCTCTTAATGTAAGGTTGGCTTGGAAAAAAAGAACCCTCACATTTTAAATTAGCCATTTCATACATGTGAAAGATAGGATGAGAAACTGGTAAATAAATAAAACATTTTTAATGAACACAGAGCTTTTCCAAAAATGCCTGCTAGAATGGAGCCTGTGCTAGCCCGGAGAAAGCAGCTCTGTAATCTGCTCTAATTCCAAGTCTGAGAGGGCATCTTATTTCAAGATTTCAGCATCACTGGAACAGTCCATAATCCACCGAAGTACAGTGGACTACCTAATAGCTTGTTGATATGCTTACAAGTGTTTATAACCCCTTTTTCTCATAGAAAAATATTATAACTTTGGCCATTGCTTAACATGTTCAGTTACATGCTGGGCAAGAATGTCCTTTGGGCTTGGACCCTGATCCTTCATCTTTCATGATTTCCCATCTAATGGCTTCCTAGTGCTGACTGGGTACACTGATCTTTCACTAAGCCACTAACCCAGTACATTTGGAGGGGTATGGTGGCTTTTCTATAGCAAATTTGAGGTCTTCAGGCTGCCTCTTTCAAAACAATTCTGAGATCTTCCCTCAGACCTCACCATTGTGCTTTGGGACTCGGTACAATTAGGAAGGTTAATATGTAGCATAAAAATATTTCCATGACAAATGGATATGGCATATTGTCCACTACTTTGGACTACTTTCTACTTTATAAAGGTAATTGGCAGTTGCCTAAATAGTGCCACTGGGAAGCCTTTTTAAAGTTAGATTTTCTTAATGTGATTGCATTAAATATAAGAATTTGTTAGAATACCTGTAATCATTCTTTTTAAAATAATTAAAATAACTCATATTAACACAGAGTCATAGCAATTTTACTGGTTTCCTTCATATAAAGGTGTGTGTGTGTGTGTGTGTGTGTTTGATATAAACTATTTATTTTAGCACCTCACCTGATCTTTGAGAGGACCTCAACTATGGAATGAAAAAGCAGGAATGCATGTCTTCCAAATCTTAATTCTCTTCTCCGGTAAATACGCTTACCGTCTGTCTTCATGCTTTGCATTTTCTTAAAATTTAGAACATCTTTTTTAAAATCAGACTGACACATTTTTGAGAGCTGTTGGTCATTTTTTCAAAATAACGTAAGATCTGGAGTCTTAAGACTGAGAACTGAGTCTTGACTATGTCATTAACCAAGATATGCCTGATCTTGGGTCAGTCACTTAATGATTGGTCCCATTTATTCTTCAGTGAAACACTCCTTGCCCTATCTAATTCAGAGGGCTGCTTCACCGATCATTAGAGATCATATGTATATGGAAGCGCTTTTTAAACTTGAAAGCACTATATAAATATTAGTCTTTTATCCTTGTTTCTGTTAGAAGATCACATGCAAAGCTTCTAAAAATTTGTTACCTACCTCACATTAAACAGCATGGTTAAAAAAATATGTAGAAAGAGGTTAGGGACAGTGCTAAAGAATCAAATTTAGTTTTATCCTAAAACTAAAGTGAAAGTATTCTTATTTCTTGGTAATTTTTCTACAGAATTTTTCTATCCTGTTGTCTAAATTAGCAAAATAAATATTAATAAGAGATCAGCATGCCAACTGACACTGTTGAATAAAGCAGGAGAAATAGAAGTTCTTACATGCTTTCCCCAATTAGAAAGACTTAAAAGTTGAAGGAAGGTAACTAAGAGCACCTGTAAACAGACAGGGGACATTATTCTTACTTGATGTTTCTCTAACAGATAGAAGCCATTTCAGCTAGTGCTTAAACTAAGAGCTCAAAGTAGTCATTCCTACTACTGAGGTTAAAGAACAGTGACTACCAACAGGCAATACAAAGGTCATATGACATCCTACTTAGAGGTGTCTAGCCAGTGGAAGGGCCCTCTATAACCTAAAGATACACAATATCAAGTTTCTCAAATTAATCCTCCCTTGCTACTTTAAGGGTATATTAATTTAACCGGATCCAAGTTCCCTTAATTGAACTTCCAGGCAACCTTACAGTGTACTTTAACAATGCAGAATAGTGCTGCCACACGTAAATATAATGTAAGCTACAAATGCAAGCCACAGACGTAATATTAACTGTTCTAGTAGCCAGATTGAAAAAGATAGGTAAAATTGATTTTCATATATTTTGCTAACCCAGTATATTAAAAATATTATTTCAACATAAAATCCATATTAAACAATTGAGATATTTTATATTTTTCTTTTTATACTGAGTTTTTGAAAGCCTGAGTATTTAACCCTTATAGGACATCCCAATTCAGACTAACCGCATTTCAAGTGCTCAGTAGTCCTATATGGCTTGTGGTTACTGTATTGGACAGCACAGATCTAAAAGATTTTCTGATATAAACAATTAAGATCTTTACACTTTTGTACCTACAATAGATCTCACAATGCTTTACAAATTGGATGCTTCTGAAACATACCTGAAAAACATGTCCTTGACTAACTTATCATAAAGGTGGGTGTGATCACAGTTGCTGATATTTTTGTAAGCAGAGTAACTTATTCATAGGGAAAAAAATTACATATTCTCAGTCAGCCCATCCCAGCTTTAGTAAGTCTAAAAATAATCTCTGGGTTAAAGGGAACTATTCCCATATTTGGAACCTGCATCTATTAAGAAAGCCATGTCCCAAATACTGCACAATGGCTGGCAAATATATATATAAATATAATAGATAAGGAAGAAATGGGAAAACAATTAAATGTAAATTTTAGATTCTGATGGAATGTATAAGCAAAACGGCAATGTACCTTGTTAAATGTGACTGGGGTGGGGTGGGGGGGTGGGGAGGGATGGCAGTAGAAGATTAATCAGTGCCTGGTTCCAATTAAGGAACTAAAGGGGATTAGAAAAGTCAAAACAAAACTGAAACTTGAAATATTATTTCCTTTGGTTAGTTTAAGCTTAAGCCAATCAATCCTTTCTCCCTTCTTCTGGAGGAGGCTGCGTTATTATACATGAGCTATATGCTGTAGCTAAGGCGAACGCAATTGTATGAGACCCACTGGAGTTGCTTAACCACACAGTCCCCATTCTAATCTCCCACTTAAGTTGAGGGGGCTTATTTTTTTTCCAATTCAAAGAAGGAAAGAGGAGGTGGAAAGGGAGGCAAATTTCATCCCCTCTTTCACCTCTGCTCTCACATAGAAAGCTTCATTGAACATTTTTAATCTCGTGCCTCAGGCCTTAATGCTTATGATATATATTACAATGATCACTTTAAAGAAATTATGTGCCCCAATATTTAAATGAGTCAGTCATGGGCCAAAGTATCTTTATGGAATTCCTTTCCAGCCTTGAATTTTATCATATCTGGCCAAGAAATGGAACTGACAAAGGTATAAAGTCTTAAACCATGTAGGCTATTTTATAGAGCAAAAAACTGGCCTATAGATGTGGGGATCAGCTGTGCTCATTATTTCATCATCACACACTAGAGGAACCACAGGGTACAAGGCACTGTACTAGCTAGACATGATGGGATTTATAGGGTTCAGATTATTTTCAAACTCTTATGACCTCCAGGTCCACTGCCAATCCCCTTACCTACATCTGTCACAAATACAATCCTTATACACACACACACACACACACACACACTCACTAGGAATACTACTAAGTCAGTTGGTATTCAATGGGAAGAAAATGTTTGAGCATGAATCTCTCCGGTGTCCTTGGAAATAGAGCTACGATAAAGCTGCCAAGGTAGTGAGCTCCTTGCAGCAGTCGCTATGCCCAGCATGGAGGCAAAGTGGAAATGTAACTTTAATTTTTGCATTGGTGGTTTTATAGTTCTGGTAGTAGATGACATCTGTACCCTACACCAGGCTCAGTAACAGTACTTGGCATGACCAACCTTAGTCATCACTTTGGTAAGTGCTTTGGCACGGGCCACTGTTGCTAACCACCATCCTGGTGCAGGTCCTTCACATCTGCTCTCCTATGGATGGAAAAAAGGAAGTGTCTAGTGTCCATTCATTGGCCACGTCACCTCCAATCTAGCCTTTACTCACATGCCTTTCAATTCAGGCCCAGGAGAAAAGGATTTCATTTTTGAGAAGAAAAGTTAATCAGACAAAGCTACAGTACACTCTTAGCACAATAAAGACTTGGTGGGATGAAGAACATCCTCAGAGTGACAGCTGAGGGAACTAACCAGTACCACAATGCTGAAGAGAATGATTAGGAAGTGTTCTGGCAAACACTGACTCTAACAGACAGACACAGTAGCACAGTGGACAGAGCAAAGGTCTTGAGTTCTGGAAAATGAAGTTCCTAGTCTCACTTTGGTATGAAGCTAGAAAGAGAATGTATGTGGAAGTGTTTTGTAAACTGTTGAAATGGATTATCACGTTTGGAAATGTTTGGGGCAATTCTTTGGGATTCCCCCAATTAGAAATCTGATAACAGATTATATTAATCAAATAATGATAAAACAACCTGAGCTTTTTGTAAGAAAGATGCAGTATATGAATACCAAAGGTTTATCTTACTGACAGGAGTAGATTTCCCTCTACTTGGAATGAACGGTCATTTCTCCACTTATCTATTAAATACCTTTTAAACTTCAAGAATCAGCACAAATGCTATCTTCCCTGTGAAATCGTCCCTGATTCATCCAGACAGAATGAACTGCTCCTTTTCCTGGGTGTTTACAGTTTAACATAGACCTTATTTTGTCATTATTTCCATCTACCTTGTATTTTAGAACAGATTATAGCCATTTCCTTCACTAGAATGTGAGTTTTCCAAAGGCAGAGCCTGTCACATTCTCTGAATCTCCCTCATCTTCCTAGCACAGTGCCTTGCACAGAGTAGCTGCTTAATAAATGTTCCCTGAATTGTACTGAACTTAGTCTACTTTAGCTCTATGCCATCTCCTCTACCTCAAAAAAACCAAAAACCAAAAATCAACAGTGAAGAGAGAGAAGAAACTTAAGACAAACATATAAGACGCATAAAGAATGGCTTCATTCTTTGCATTCCTGCTTTGGAATGCCCACTGCTGATCTCCATACAGTTTTGTCATTGATTATTAGTGAGAGCAAATGTTAGAAAGCACACACACAAAGGCAGACAATGTAAAAAACCCACCACACGTCATGCAAAAAATCTGTGATTTAGGACTATTTTTAAAGTTGCCTTTAGCTTCAATTTTAATGGCAAAATCGGTACCATCAAAGCCAACACAAGACATATTTGCTCTGTTTTATTCGTGCAAAAATCAGTATCACCTTCAGATTGAGTTGGGCATCTTCTGGGTGTTTCTGGATGAGTACACATTTTCTTTGAGGCATAGTTTAAATCAAGTGGAAGCTTGGATATTTCAAACTTGACATTTGTGTATTTATTTGTTGGCAGCTTCTAGAATATGTGGATTCCCCTGGGATTAAAAGAAGGCCCTAGCACCGTTTTCTGTCCCTTGTATAGGGATGCCTTATGAAATGATCTTATCTCTTTCAGTAAGTCAAGTACCTGGGTTATACTGTATTATTTTAGGCAGTCTTTCCCCCATCTCCCACTTTCCTAGTTTGGAGTTTACTCATTCAGGGATATAGGCAGTTGAACAGCATCTGTGTTCTCTTTTAAGGACTCCTATTATTGGAGTGAAATTTATGAAACTTGTTTACTGTCCTAATACACTGATATGCTCCACATAGGTCCTTATTAACACTTCCCTCTCCAGCTTCTACTAGATGGACTCTGTTGGTTCTCATCCTAACTTTTATACTTGCACCACTGTTTCATTAGCTACGTCAGATCCTTTCAGAAGTAGCCAAGCACAAATCTTACGTTTATATATTCATTCAGAGCTTGTAATTCTGCTTCCTGTACGTTTGCCAACAGTATCTTCTCTTTGACTGTAATTCCTTCGGTAAAGGAACATGTCAGTTCTCTATGAAGGTATGGAGAATGTCATTTGCAAACAAAGGTCATTTGAAGATTGTGAGCATAGTTAGCTGTAGATTCTAACCTCTTTGGGAAAGGATGGAAATTCAAAAGGACTAGCTGGAAGTCACTAAATTCTAGTCATACTAGCTTTGTGGATGTGATCTAGATGATGAAGCTGTTTATTTCTATATAACTACTACCACATTCCCAGCATCATTTGAAAAAAGCTCAGACTCTGCCGTGTCTCCCTGTACTTGTCATACTCCCCATGTCAGTCAGCCTCCTGCTGTGCCTTAACCTCTATTTGTTTCTTTGTACCACCCTTCCCTATAATGGTTGGCTTTCTGGCTTTCCCTGGATTCTTCTGACTGAGGGATACTAGCCTTTACATAGTTGCTGTGAAAAAGGAGATGCTCAGAAGAAATACACCTTTAAGTGGCAGCTGCCCCAACACACAGAAGCACTCACTCAAGATGGCTTAAAGGAGACAGGGACTCAATGTATGACTAGAAAATAGAGCGATTCAGGCAAGTGTGAAAGGAATTAATATTTTCTAGTAACCCCTCCAAGATGACTAGTTGCTGATTAGTATATATTTGACTTAAGTATTTTCAAGACTGGCTATTTCCGGAAGGGAAGGCGGTGTGAAGCAAGAAGGGAAGGGGAGATTGGCTTTAGAACCCCTAATTAATATAAGCACTTGCTTTCAGAAAACCCTTAATTTGAGCTATTCCTTTTCACTTTTTCCTGTTGGGTGCATGACATTTTAGAATTCTTGGTATCAGCAGCAACCCAAAAAGACAGAATTGCCAACTTGCACATCAAAAATGAGGGGGGGAAAAAAAAAGCATAATGATTTGGAACAAAAACCAAAACAGACTAAAACAAAAAATACAAGCAGCAGCAAAATCATTGAACCTAACTCATAGCATCTTTTTGAAGACAGGGAGGTTAGTTGGTTAAATATCACAGTGATCTAGTAGTTACTGTCCTAGCTTTGAGAGTTTAAATGTTTAAGAATGCACATCCAGAAGCGGCACATGTAGAAAAACCATGGTAGCCAAGAGAGATCTGACCTACTGCTGCCCGGGCCACCCTGTTCCAATTAACATGGATTTCCAGAGTTGCTGTTCCATGATAACTCTCAGTAAGAGAGACAAAGAAATAGAACATTTTTAGAAACCAAGCAGAAAATGGATGGGAATACAATACCTGGAAAGTTTATCAAGCATGTTGACAAGTTTCATGGCTTCATATTCTTTTTGTTCTTCTGTCATTTCATCTATGGGATTTGGCATTGGTTCCTCTAAATGACCAGTGATAAGATTAATGCTACAAAAAGAAAAAAAAGTTATGCTGTATGTTTTAAAATTATGCTCTTTCTATACTTTCTGGTCCAAGTTGTAAGTTGTAATAAGAAAGAGTATAATAGCCAAAAATTGGCAATAATAGCAATTTTGTAGTATAGAATTACTATAGGAATTTTAAAAAATTTGCTTCTTCTACTAATTTGCTTTGGGAAATGGGTGGTAGTTTTACTTTAAAAAAAAAACCAATAGCTGACTTGCCAACTTTGTTTTTTTAAAGGCATGGCTGCTTTTTAAAAATATGAAATTTGATTGGTGCCGTTAGGATAAATATCCTTGGATGCATAGTTTATTAATTTAAGGGGACAAATGATTTCAGAGTAGGAGAAATCCATTTTGTGATACAGCATAAAACACATGTGTCAAAAAAACTGGAAAAATGATGGCAGAGAGGCTGAAATCTGAAAATGAAAGCATGCCGATTTATCATCTCAGGAAATTAGTCCATTAGTGAGACCACAGAAGGCAGTGAGTGTTCAAATAATAAAAGATAAAGCAGAAGAACAATTTTAATTAGATTTGATCTGACCTAGATTAAAAAAAAAAAAAGAATGAAATCTAGCCTACCAAGAGACAGGTATACCATCTGACTTTCTGGAAATAATAAAGTACTTAAAATGTGTATGTCCCATAAACTTTGTACGAAGTTCTAATACCAAACAAGCTATCCTCTTAGATGAAAGCCACACTTTTTTTTTTTAAAGGAGATGAAAGAAAATTCTTCAATGGCTGCTAAATATCTATAACTTAAACATCTTTCTGGAAAAGTAGACAAGAGGTTACGGCATTTTGTTTCAGCCAAGTATGGACAGTTTGCAGGGATATTTCATTTGATCATTAAAAACAAACAGCAAATTGCTAATAAATTGCTTTCTAGGGTCTACAAACACAAATGCTTTCAGTGGCCAGGCCTGCAGGATAAGCGAATGAGTGAACTGGTCAACCATAAATAGTGTGGAGTGTTGGGGACTGGAGTAAACTTGAGGACAGTACCAGTCTAAAGTGGCAGGAGGTAGAATCCTGTGGGCCAAAACAAAGACCTTGTGATCAAATAGGTCCTCTGGAGGCTAGCTTGCAAGCCCCGCTTTAGACTTTGACTTGGGCAGATTAACTTTCTTTACTGACCAGGGATTTCTCATTTGAGTAGTAAAAGGGCTAGGTTACTAGGTACTATTATCTATTATTAAAAGATTTCCTTTTCTTTTTCTACATTCCTCAGGGGGTACATGATATTCACATTTTTGTGGTAGGACTCAGTGCTCAGCATCCTCAAAAGCCAGATCTAAAACATCTGTTTTAACAGTCTTGCTTAAGACCTACGTCTACAGCCATGATTAAAAAACTTTTTTTTTCTTCAAAGCAGTGGATCGACCCATCCACCTCTCCCTGCCTTTTTTTAAACAAATGAAATCTACACAGAAAGCCCATATATAAAATAGACAAAGTGGAACTGCTCAAGCAGAAGAGGGGATGGGGTGGTCAAGCAAAGTGGAGGCCTAAAGCCCCTTATGTTTGTACTTACTTGCTTCCTCTTAAGTTTGCCCCTGAGGTACTTTTAGGAACTCTGGGAAATAGTCTGAAAACTCACAGGCTTGTCAGTCATTCTTAGCTTAGGCTGCACATTAGAATCACTTGGTAAACTTTAAAGAAAAGGCTTAGGCCTCACCTGAGACCAACTAAATCTATGTATTTTATTTTCCTGGTGATTTTGATACACAGTGAGGTTAAGAACCACACAGGGCTGGAGTGCCAACTTCAGACACTCATTGTGTGCTACTATTCCCTCTTTTTGTTTTTGTTTTGTTTTGTTTTTTAGGTGCTCATAATAGAAGAGAAAAAGGCCTCTAGTTAGTGGTCATTAACAAATACACTGAAATGGGGTCATCATAGTTCCCAAAGTCAAGAACAAATGGAACCTAGACAAGGCTTCAGAGAACTACAGCATTTTAAAGATGTATCCAGATGCCACACTGAAAATGTAATTCCACCACCCATCTATTATTTGCTTTTAGGCTTATCACAACAGAACATTTCACTGGTTTACTTTCTGCCACCTGCTAAATTCGAAAAACGAGTCTTATAAATGAATTAGTAAAGGTACTTATTATAGGAACATACTACTTCCCAAGCAGACAAAGGAAATCAGGCCTAGAATAAAGTACAAGGGAAGGTAGATGTATTAACTATGTAAAACATGTTCGATTTGTCTCTTGAGAGAAGGCGCCTCTTCTCAAGTTTAGTGGAGGGGTGATTTAAGAAATCAGATCCACAGACTGTTTTAGAATATAATGACATTAGCACAAGCCATCATTTGCCTTGGGGGGAAAAATGTGTCAGGAGGATACACTGGTAAGCTCTGTGGTATCCACAATGTAAAGTCAGGACATGAATTTCTGAATCAGGGCACATTTGATTCTTTCTTTGGTTCTTTAAAGGGCTTAATAGAAATGATGTCCATTTTCCACAAGCTGACCTCAAGTCCTCTGCTGCCGAAATGATTTAATGACTTGCTCCGAAATTAGCTACTAAAGTCACAAAATCCTTTGCTCACTGAGCATAAAAGCAGTAGGCAGAAATTCATTCTTACAGAGTAAGAATTTACCATCCTTTACTCATGCAATACCCCCCGCCCCCAGTATGCAGAAGAATGTACACAATATCACAGAAAACACAAGCTGGGGCACTGAACTGTGCCACTCATAGGAAAAATGCCAATGTGCTTGGGGTCAGGAGGCAGACTTGGAAATTGTCTCCCCTCCTGCTCCCCACTTCAAACCAGACTCCTGTGGTTTCCCTACCCAGAGAGGAAGAGGAAACAAATAAGTCACTGTAACAATGATGTGAGGTTTCATAAAGTAGATTATTTTCAGTTGACCAATCACTTGCCACCTTTATAGAACCTCAAATAGTATAGTCTAAGACTTAACTTTCTAGGTTTCAGGATCTTAACACTGAAATTCTGGGGTTAGTTTAAGACTCTGAAATTCTGGGGTTAAGTTTAAGTGAGTCAAAACTTACTTTGGGTAAGTTTTTAAGACTCTGAGTCTTAAGATGCTTTAGGTACACTAATTGTGGCGGATACTATACTGGGTAATTTTATGGTATGATTTTGTCTCACCCTATCTGTTCCCCTACCCCATCTTTCCAGCACTCCAATTCTATGATTATATATGTCTTTCAGTTAGGTGACAAGAATTATTTAAACTCATTTGTTAGTGTATCATCGAGCATTTTGTATTATATAAGGTCATTACATGAACTGACCACAGTTATGGGCCTGGTGATGAAGGGATTAAGACATAAAAAGGTATGGGCATATGAATATATATGTAAAAGCTGAAATATATTTCAAGACTTTTGCTTTTCAAATTGTTGCTATATTTGCCCAACATCAACAGTACCAGGTCACTTAACAAAAAAGCTATTAAGATTTCCCTGAGCTATATTAAAGTTAACTTCAATCTCTAAAACGTGGGGATTAAATTTTACTCAAAGCATTCTGGTTAAAGAAGAGTTGGCTATAAGGGCAAATCTATACAGAGGCTAAGCAGGTAAGATGAATGAAAAGGATCCACTGTTAAACCAGAGGAGCTTATGCCTGGTATAATGGGGACCACCGCCACTCAACTCCATCAGCCAGTTGCCTGCCATGTGAAAATGCAGGCTTAATGTTATTAGAACTTATTCAAAAGAAGTTAGAAATCCAAATTTCCATCTGAAATATCTGAATTCTGAATGTTGGCAAGTAATTAGGAAGTACTATGTAAAACAAAATAAAAACACAAAACTAAATAACCAAAGAATGCAACATCAAGTACAGAACCTAACTGTGAGACAATTTGCAACCTCTAGGAAAGGGTGAGGGTTTTCAGGAAAAGGTATTTGTGAGCCCAGAGCCAGGATGGGGTGGGGGGGTGGGAAAGGAGAGGTTCTATGCAAATAAGGCTAGAAATGTCTTTCCAGGAAAAACTCCCCAGAATACTTGCCCCCTAACAAAACAATAAAAAGAACAGAGTGGAAATATACTATATCCTTGTTCATTTAATTCAAGAAATATAAAAATACAGATTTTTTTGGCATAGCTTCAATAATGGTGACAATTACAATGGGAGTTAAAGCAACAAAACAAAATCTTGACAAAGAAAGTCTCTTGTCTCATGCTGGAGAAATTATACAGCTGTTGCCACAGCTACTCCTGAGAGAAATATAGCCAAGAAGGAAACACCTCTGAGTTGCTTAGTACAATGATTCTAAGCTTCTGTATGTGATTATGAACTAGTGTAGGGTATTAAGAGTATAAGGAGGTATCCTAGAGTTCTGCCCACCTTGGCCATCCCCTCCTTCTGCCCTCCGTTTAGCAGAGCTTTAAAGATACCTCTTTGAACCCCTAGGCTCTTATATACCCAGCCTGAAAGCCACTGGTCTAAAAGGAGCCAAATGTCATTAGGCACACATCTTTCAATTGATGTTTGGAATGATGTACAAAACCATATTAGTTACACTATACCACCTGTATAGGCAAGGGGCCTCCATGCTCAGAGGCACAACAAAACTGGTATAAAAGTTAGAATTTAGACATTTCTCTTTCTGATACAGGACCAAAGTTTATCTGAAAACTTAACATGGCTAGACTTACACCAAAAACCTGTGTGGCATGTAACTTGATTCTATGAGTGTATTTCTGCTAATTGCAGAAAGCCATTTCCAGTCCATTAAATACACTTACTTTGACACAAAAAAGATGGTTGTGAAATTAAGTCTCCCATAGCCTGAACGTAAGCTCCACACAATTGTTGGTTTCAGATTCCACTAAAGGATTATAGGTTACCTTGGTGCATCAATCAGAATCCACTTACATTTTTGACAACGGGACTAGGGCCAACTGGATAAAGGGCAATTTCTCTGCTTCTGCCAATACTAGCAACTGTTGTGAATAAATGCATCATACGAAAAGCATACCGTGATCTTGAGAACACTTGATTGGTGAAGAGTAATCAGAGGGTAGGGGAGAAAGCAATCCTTTCAGAGGCTGAGTTTATAAGCTGGACTAGACTGGTAAAAAGTTTTCATAATTTTTAGGGAAAAAGTTCTTTGAGAGCTACAGATAACTCCCCAAAGCACAAAGGGTTCTCTTGCTTACAAAGTACTTTGTTTACCACCACTTCCACAAGGACCATTTGAATAAGCATTTTTTTTTTTTTAAGTAGGCTCCACATCTAACGTGGGGCCTCAACTCGCAACCCTGAGATCAAGAGTCAAATGCTCCACCAACTGAGCCAGCCAGGCACCCCATGAATAAGTATTTTAAATTAACAAACATCCCACTACAGTGTTTCACCTGAAAGAGGGAAGATGTAAGAAAAAAACAGATGCAAATCTATCTGAAGGGGAAAGATGTAATGCTATGTGAGAAACACATATTTATACTTGTCATGAACAATGTTTAAGAAACACAACAAGGTTTCACAATGGTGACTATTCTGACCACACTAACACTCCATTCCTATGAACAGTATAGGCCAGGTCCAAAGGCTGAAGAAGATTCCAACTAGGGATGTAATAAGGTCTAAGTATAGAATCTTCCTAGCCAAGACAATAACAATACCAAACATCATGGTCCTTGATTTAAACAAAAGGTGCTCTCCTGAAATCTAACCTCACTTTCATAATCTAACACATTTCTGTTTCCCATTCTACTAGGAGAGACCCCAGCGTTCTTGTATTTTCTCCAAGCAATTTCTTGTTATAGTAGCATTCTGGTGCTTGTAAGATATGTGATCATTACCACTGGTAGAAATCATCTACCAAACGAAATCAACAATACACACTGAGATATAATGACATCAACTATCTGTAAGTATTTAAGAGCTTTTTTTTAAATCTTAGTTGACTTGTCCACATAACTTGGGACACAATATATGCCTAATATAATTTCTACTTTCATTTAAAAATATGAAAGTATACCTCAAGTGGTATACTTTAATTTCTCAAATGGAGAGAGATAAAATATTAAACTGATATGAAAATATAGTTTATGGAATAGAAAAATCAAGAGCTAGCAAGACTAATTTAGAATGATGACTTCTATAATTAGGGAAAGGTTAAAGTATGATTCCTCTATCTAAGCTTCAATTACATGATAGAGATGCTCAATTTATAACATCTAAATGGTGGCAGTCTTAAGAATGTACTGCTTAGAGTCACTGCTAGCTTTTTTCCCCAAAAGTCTTTTTTTTCTAGGACACACTCTACAGGATCCTGCTGAGGCTGAACTGGAGATACTAAAAGTGATGCTACCTACCCAGGCCTGATTTGCCAAGGAATACAGGCCATATAAGTCTTGTCTAATTAGGGAATGATCTTTGCTTTTACCTTCTGATAACCTAGTACTTTCATGTTAACAGGGCACAATCTATCCTTTTTTAAAAAAAAAAAGCCTATTTTAACCATGTTAATAAGAGAAAAAAGGAGGATACAAAATTTTATTTAAAAAAGCCTAATTTTGCAGATGATTTTCTATCCTTTATCAACTACCACATGTTCCTCATTACATTCTAGAAACTGCCAGTAGAAAACCTATCATGTCAACATCATCGATAATGCCAAAAGGTAAGGGCATACCCTTTGAACATTCAGTAACGGAAACCAGAAAATTGAGCTCAAATAACTTCTAATAAGTGGAACTAAGAAATTGACCTGGGGGGTTAAGAAGGGGAAAAAAAGGATGGGGAGGAAAAAGAAGAAAGTAGAGGTGGTCTGTTTTGGGATAAGAGAAGAATTAGTCTTTGATTTCTAAGCACTGATTCAGGGAAGACTTGATAGAGTCTCCGGTTAGCCTACTCAGTGCAATAATACATCTGTTAAAAGATTATTACCCAAGTAATAATTTTCATTAAAATTTACTGTGGAGCTACACTTCTTTCCTTTTGCTAGTAATGTACCATTTTATTGACTCATATGGCTTTTATGGAAGAGGGAAAATCGAATTTATGGAACCTATGTTTAGATTTCTGAGAAAGACTGAAGCATCAAATAACCAACTTAAATACTTGATCTCGATTATACCTTATAAAATCTCAACCTTATGGAAAAGAAAGCAAAAAGTGGGCAATAATACTTTTTAAGTATATGATGGTATACATCTAAAAATACCATTTTTCCAAATACTTAGGAGAGGATAATGAGCATGCAGCAGAATATTTCTCACAATATTATCCTTCCTCAATCACTTGAAGTCACTCTTTAAGCCACTAGCTATGAAATTGCCTCTAAAAACACTATTAAATGGAAAGCTTCCAAATCCACAAAAGAAAAGAAACACTTGAAAAATGAGAGACGAAAGAAGTGAAAGGCAAATAACCAAATCAAAGGCACAGACATAGTTAGGTGAAAAGAAACTTGATACTATACTTTGGTTTTGCATTTTTGTATTCTTCAGTGTCTGTGTCCTCGTCCTCTGAGTACCAATTATCTCCTCTTCCTCCAGCCAAGAGGCCCCTGGCCGCCAACAGTCCTGCAGCATTCCCATAGCCAGTGTATTTCAGCAGGCTATCCACTGCAAAAACAGAAGAGGTTTTTAGACAGGAATCCTTGGGTGCTCACTGTCATAACCAACTATTCACCAGTACAGGGAAGTTTGGAGATATATACCACAGCAGTAAACCTTAAAATTGAGAGGTTTTCAAAGTGTGGTAGAGGTTATACTGAACTACCTACAAATTCTCCTACATGCTCTGAGGACCAAAAGCCTTTTTTCAGGTGTCAGAAATTCAAGCAGAACTGTTTGGAATATACTTTGTGGCAGGAATGGAGCCTCTGTGACCACAGGGTCATTGGTAAGGGTGATATTTTAGGTTTCTGGTCACAAAGCTTTTCATTCAGTTTTAGAGAAAGGATGACTAGAAACTAGAATTAATGAAACCCAGACTGGAATTTTACCAACACTGTCATTATCTAAAATCTTTCTTGTACCCTTTATAGGAATGACAGGGAAAGAGTACCAGAGATCACAAAACTTAAGGATGTTTGCAAAAAGGATAGCTAAGTTACTTTTGTAAAAAAGTAAGCAACAGTACATAAGCACATGATACCCACTGAGAAGGTAGGTCCAGGAGTTAGACTGGCTAGATTTTATTAATGGCCCTACCACTTACTAGGCTGGTTGACTTGGAGAAGTTATCTTATAGCGCTGTACCCCACTTTTTCTAGTCTGGAGAATTGAAATAATAATCTACTTCACAGGTTAATACATGCAAAGCACTTAGAAAACTATCTGGCACAGAGTAAATACTCTTTCTTTTTCCCCTGATGATATTAGGTAAACTGAGTGTGTTAGGCTTCTCTTAGTAAACAACAGCAACAGCCCAATGAACCATTTGGTGCAGGTCAGCATTACCTTGTCATCAGTGCAAGGTGATAACTCTAAGATAAGTGGACACATAAAACTTTTGCAGGGGAACCCTGAACTGTAGGAATTCTTTGTGTGTGTGATTTATAAGAACCTTTAAGGAAGATACTAAACAATTGTTAGCTTTATTTAAGAGCACTTTCTTTTCTTCAGGTACAGTTTCAAGGTAAACACTAAAATATTCAATCTAAAGATAAAAATTTTAAGGCTTTCAATAAAATGTAATCTTAAAGACAACTATAGGAAACAAACCTAACACTATTTTATTCACGTATAAAGCTTCAGTAAAACCTACATGTGAAATACTACTGTAATTCAGACCACTTAACTCAAAAAAGACAAAATAAAGCTGGAGAAGATTCAGAGAAGGGCAATTAAAATGACTTTAGGGTCTGAAAGGGGCAGCAGATAGGGAAATAGGGGGGGTAAGGAAAGGCGATATAGATGATCAGAGTATGAAATCATCAAAGGCATGGATAGGATGAATAGTCCAGGAGAGAATTGTTCATTAAATTTTCAAGTACTTGAATTAGAGGGTACCTTCCTTGACACTGAAAATAGGTACTTTAGGGACAAATAAAAGGAAATCCTACTTTCAAAGGATATAGCAGACTGGTGACATCTGTGCAAAAGGAAACATGGATTAATAATATAAGTAGGTTAAAGTTTATTCTCTTTCAACCATCTTCTACCTTAAAACCTATTGGTAGGGGCGCCTGGGTGGCTCAGTTGCTTAAACGACTGCCTTCGGCTCAGGTCATGATCCTGGAGTCCCTGGATCGAGTCCCGCATCGGGCTCCCTGCTCGGCAGGGAGTCTGCTTCTCCCTCTGACCCTCCCGACCCTCCCCCCTCTCATGTGCTCTCTCTCTCTCTCAAATAAATAAAATCTTTAAAAAAAAAAAAAAAACCTATTGGTAATTGTTGTCTCTTTGGTAATAAATCTCAGTAGATGCTAGATAGAATCATATTAGAATTTAATGAGGGATCATGGTGGTATAATTTGAAAGCCCTTGGAATAAATCTGAATATGCTCCCTCTTGCTCTCAGTGCCTCTGCAAGACTGGAATGGTTTAGATAAATTAATGAATTCTTAATGGATAATTAGGGAAGTGAATATCCAGTACATACAGATATTCTTAATACTCATGGAGGTCAGACAGGACTGTAATGACTTGGTCAGACACAAAGTCAGTGAGGCGAAGGATCCTAACTCTGAACCCACATGGCACTGATACTCCCATTGTAAGCACTTTTGATAAGGCTTATTTTTTTTTAACAAAGAGGTTTAGTAGTTCCAGGGAAAAAAAATCACTAAAATTGTAAAAGCGTAAGTTGAGACATGCATATACTTAAAAAATAACAATAAAAAAGATAAAATATAAAGAACCACGTACAATGGCTTAACATTAAAATAGTTTAAGAATGCAGAGTTTATAAAAGGCCAAAATAGGTTAAAAAGAAGTAAACAGAACATTAAATAATATACTTTCTTAAGGAGACAATCCTCCTGGAAGCTAGTTAATAGTAAAAAAACACCTGGCACTTTTATGAAAATAATGCAGTAAGTCCATTTATGGGAACAAATGTGTCAACTCTGACAGTTTGGGTTACAAAGGCTATTTAAGACACATCTTGCCTTCAAAACAGGTAAGGCTATAGCCAATAGTTCTAAAATCAAATGAACTTCTGTTAATAGGATAAAATACTTAAAAAATGGGGGTTGGGGTAGGGAGACAAATGGACTACGAAATCTTCACAGTGAGAAACATTTTCTTTGTGAAGTTCTGATTGACATTATTTGGCAGAGTGTTTTGAGCTACTTTTTAAGCTATTTTCAAATACACTGTACAATATCCTGTCAGTATTGGGAAGGTAGTAAAAGGAAAATGGACTGAATCTGGATGTTAAAGTGAGTTGCTAAGGCAAGGAAAGGTTTTCTGGGTGGCCCTTAAAAACAAAAAGAATACAAAAATATTGATTTTTCTGTCCCAGTAATCAACCATGCAGTTAGGTAAAACTGCTATAGAAATGATACAAATCAGCATTCAGTCAGAAAGTTAGAAAAAATATTGCACCATTATTTTATCAAGATGCTGGAGGGCACCATGAACAGAGGGAAACAACCATAGAAGCACACTGCAGTTAGATGTGCACTGCTGGTAAAAATATCACTGCTTACACAAATGTGGGTTTTATCACTCTCTATCATGAAAACAATAAGGGGTTCTGCTGTTTACCAAGGAGGAAGAATGGCAGAGCCAGATTCTACCCAGAGACCATTCCCCTTTTTCTGTTATGTAGAGAAGGCTTTAATCCTTTTCCTTCCAAATAGTGCAACTTTTAGAAATTTTACACTAGCAGCCTCCTCTAACTAGTACTCTCCCTATTTCCAGCCTCACATGCTTCTTCTATTCCTTGTTTCATACAACTGCCTCATAGATCTTTGTAAAGCAAAAATATGGTGTTATCACATTCCTGGATAAAACCTTTAAGATCTGCCATGAAGGCTAAGGATGCTTCATTTTCTGGTCTCTGCTGCCTTTTCCAAGCTTACCTCCTATTATTCCTGCACATCGTGGATTCTTCACATCTTGAACTAGTCTCTTTCTTATAAATACCAGGGCTGTTTCCCATTTTTCTGTGAAGACTTTCTCTGACTGTGTCCACCACTACCCAATCATTCCCTCCTTCAGGCTATCACAACACCTGGCACATTCCTCTCTTACAGTGTACTGATCATTCCTTTATATGGAGAGATCCACAAGACCATATATTCACTACACTGCATTCAGACAGCAGAAATGTTTACTTTTTTATAACCATTTGTAAGGTACTTTGTTAAAACTAGGTATCCAAAGATGAAGAAGACATGATCTCTGACCTAATGAAACTCAATTTGTTGAACTTGCATTCTAGACATTAACTGAGGGTGAGAACATAGCAAATGTCAAAAGCACTAAAAACAGACGTAAGTAAAAATGGTACAAGGAAGACAGAATGATTAACTCTGCCTCCATGATCAGACAAGTCTTCACAGAGAAGATACTTAAGCTGATCTTCAAAGATAAATAAAGCTCACCATGCTAACAAAGATATTCCATGCAAAGGGAACAGTAACTGCCAAGTTGTGGAGATAATGCCAAGAAATGGTACAGTATAATCTGGCAAGAATAAAAAAAATTAGCATGACTAAGCAGAAAGTATATAATAGTAAACTGAATTTAGAATAGAGGCAGGCCATGAAGGTATCTAATAAAATTTGGATTTTACCAGGTGTCAGGGAGTCACTGAAAGCTTTACAAGGTGGTAATGACAAGACTGTATTTTAGAAGACTCCCTCTGTTAGCCAGGTGAAAGACAGACTGAAGAAAACCTGACCAGAAACAGAGGGCTATGATTATTTTAAGAGTTTATTAAGAGATACACAGATTTTGGAATCTCCAGCAAACAGGCTGAAGCAGAAGCCAAGGGAGAGGATGAGATCACTCAGGAAGCAATGTAAAGTGAGAACAGGGGCCAGATGAGAACTCTAGGGAACACTGGCAATTAAGTGTGGGCAAAGACAGTTGTCAAGTAAGACTGAAAAGAAAGGTCAGAAGAAATCTAGGAGTGTATGGTAGCACAGAGACAGAGAGTGGTCAATAGTAAGATAAAGGCCAAAAAATATCCATTGCTTTTGAACATCAGTTACCTTGTGAGCTTATGGAGAGCACTTCCAGTGGGATCTGGGAGGTAGGGAATGGCAGTGGAAAGCCTAACTTGGAGCAAGCTGAAGCCTGAGTGGGTAGTAAGGATACTAAGAGGAAAACCAGATTAATCTTTCAAGATGCTAAGATATGAAGGACAGTGACATGGAGATGTATATAGGTTGAGGAAAACACATAGGGACAGTTAAAAACCAAAAGAATAGAGAGTAAGTACTTTCCAAGAAGATGAAGAGAAAAGATCAGCAGGAAAGGAGACTTTAGCTTCAAGCTAAACAGACACTTCTTCCTTGGAGACTGAAATAAAGGAGACGAAAGCAAGCTCGCAGTTGTGGGGCTGTGCGCTGAGGGTGTTCCAGCCTTATTTCTCTGTGTGATTCAGCCTCAACCACAGTGCCTAGCATATGCTAGGAATGAATGAATGTGTTAACAGGGGGAGGGTT